ACGCGTTGGATTACCACGCGTTGCATTACGACGCGTAGAATTACCACGCGTTGCATTACTACGCGTTGGATTACCACGCGTTGGTTTACCACGCGTAGAATTACCACGCGTTGCATTACTACGCGTTGGATTACCACGCGTTGGATTACCACGCGTAGAATTACCACGCGTTGCATTACTACACGTTGGATAACTACGCGTTGGATTACTACTCGTTGGATTACCACGCGTTGCATTACGACGCGTAGAATTACCACGCGTTGCATTACTACGCGTTGGATTACCACGCGTTGGATTACCACGCGTAGAATTACCACGCGTTGCATTACTACGCGTTGGAATACTACGCGAACCCGTTGGATTACCACGCATTGCGTTACTACGCGTAGAATTACCACGCGTTACATTACTACGCGTTGCATTACGACGCGTAGAATTACCACGCGTTGCATTACTACGCGTTGGATAACTACGCGTTATCCGAAGCTGTCGCTCTCGCGCATGCGTGATCCTCGCGTTCTGATTGGTCCACATTTTTCCTTAATAATTCGAAAACGAAGCTTCAAACCCCATTTTTGCAAAGGGAAATGTTATTCAGAATCACGTCAGCTACCCCCCATTTCAGGGACCTACATTTCTTACGAGACATCCTGTATATTAATAATAAATAAATATTAACTAATATATAAATTTTAAATTATTTATAATTTATTTATCATTCATAATAATTGTATTAAAGCAATCGCTATAATCTTACCACCATTTATCACTTATTAACATTTCACTACAAAACAATCTAAAAATAAATCGTGTAATGATCTTATTTTTGCGTCATAAACAAGTTACATTAAATTAATATGGCATTCAACGTTGTCAATTGAATTAGAACAAGTTCAATCAAGATAATTTAACAAATCGCACTAAAAAATACTAATTTATTGCTTCACTATATTATAGCAAAATCTGGGTCAATCATAATTTCACTTTATAAAATATTTTACTTAAAAACATAGATATGTTCTATTTTAAATAATTCGTCTAACGTTGCGAGAGTGTTTACAAATTGCTGACGAGATAATACGCCAGATAATGAACGACGAATGCAAGTATCTAAAGTGGATGCAATTACGCTAGTTTAGAAATGACTGAAGGACGAAATGAGATCAAACGAGACATTCATCTGCGCGATTTTCTTTTCTTCGTTTCTGGTATTTAAATTATCTGTTAAAGTTATGTTTGCTTTTTTATGTGTCTGGTTTTATCTGTAATGAAATTTATCAAATATGATAGCATGAAAACGGAAAATTAGATAGGATTTGATAATGTAAAAATGGTATAATTTACAGATGAAAGTTCTGTGAAAGTAACTAGATAAAAATTTTTTTAATATTTGGAATACAAAATGGCTGCCAATTGCAGAGAATAGAAATTGGAACTTATGAGTTTTTTTACTGATATTTTGCTGATACTTTTAATTAAAATCCTTTTTAGTAATTTAAATACAAAATATACAGAATGGCAAAAATGCTCAAAATAGTTAAAGTAATAAAAATACTCAAACTAGAAAAATACTCAAAACTACCAAAATTGTTAAAATAGTGAAAATACTGGAAATAGTCAAAGTAGTTAAAATAGTAAAAATACTCAAAGTAGCAGAAATACTCAAAATAATTAAAGTAATAAGAATACTCAAACTAGAAAAATACTCAAAACTACCAAAATTGTTAAAATAGTGAAAATACTGAAAATAGTCAAACTAGTTAAAATAGTAAAGATACTCAAAGTAACAGAAATACTGAAAATAGTTAAAGTAATAAAAATACTCAAACTAGAAAAATACTCAAAACTACCAAAATTGTTAAAATAGTGAAAATACTGAAAATAGTCAAACTAGTTAAAATAGTAAAAATACTCAAAGTAGCAGAAATACTGATAATGGTTAAAGTAATAAAAATACTCAAACTAGAAAAATACTCAAAACTACCAAAATTGTTAAAATAGTAAAAATACTGAAAATAGTTAAAACTACAAAAATCGTCAAAATACTCAAAATAGTAAAAATTCTAAGAATAGCCCAAATTATCAAAATCCCCCCAAAAATCAAAACACTCAAAAGACTAAGTACACTCAATATAATCAAAATAACTCAAAATGCTCATATCAATCAAATCGCTCAAAACAGTTGAAATACTTCAAATAATTTAAAATAAATCAGTAAACGTATTCTAACTAAATGAAACAAAATATTTAGTTTCACAAATATACAACTTTCACACTACAAAAAATTCAATAAATCAGCTAATTTAATTAAGCGTAGTACTCAATTAATCACTACACAGTCGTCAATAAAATTAATAACAAAAAACCATAACTAAAACGAGTGCAGGACAAACACCACTCAGAATCATACAAATACCAAGATAAAGCAACACCACTATTACACTATTACAGCGAAATATTTAGTTTCATAAATATACAACTTTCACACTACAAAATTTCAATAAATCAGTTAAGTTAATCAAGTGTAGTACTTAATTAATCACTACACAGTCATCAATAAAATTAATAACAAAAAACCATAACTAAAACGAGTGCAGGACAAACACCACTCAGAATCATACAAATACCAAGGTAAAGCAACACCACTATTACACTATTACAGCAAAATATTTAGTTTCATAAATATACAACTTTCACACTACAAAAAATTCAATAAATCAGTTAATTTAATTAATCACTACACAGTCATCAATAAAATTAATAACAAAAAACCATAACTAAAACGACTGCAGAACAAACACCACTCAGAATCATACAAATACCAAGGTAAAGCAACACCACTATTACAGCGTGTGATATTTCATTATTTAATTATACACCGGGGAGAGTACTTTTTACCATAACATTCTTCGCGCTGAATGTAATCATGAAAATCGTGTCAGGGATATCTCCGTTCCTTTTATCCGTTGTTCCTTTTTTCTATTCTCCTTACGGCGGCTAATAGACACAATCACATTCACGCGTGTTTAATTAAATCTAATGGTACCCATTATTGCCGGTATACCTACGTTATGCCATTTAAATTTAACCATGACTAAGTAACTCGTTAGACAGAGATTCACTGTGAATCTTACTGTTAACTACTTCTTCGTGCATCCAACATTTATAAAAAATCCTGTATCGATAGAATTTATTGAAATATCACTCACGGAATTTTAAAAACCGGTGCTGTCTAATTTTTTTGTGCAGTGACATAAAATAAGAAATTTAATATAATTTTTTATTTTAATTTATAATACGAATATTTTATAAATTATCATATCTTTTATTTTACATATTGAATAACATTAAATGTAATACCAAATTGAATGACATAAAATATAATAAAAAATTGAATAACATAAAATATAATACCAAATTGAATAACCTAAAATATAATACAAAATTGAATGACATAAAATATAATACAAAATTGAATAACCTAAAATATAATAAAAAATTGAATGACATAAAATATAATAACAAATTGAATGACATAAAATATAATACAAAATTGAATGACATAAAATATAATAAAAAATTGAATGACATAAAATATAATACAAAATTGAATAACCTAAAATATAATAAAAAATTGAATAACATAAAATATAATACAAAATTGAATGACATAAAATATAATACAAAATTGAATAATATTAAATACATTGCAAAGTTAAATAATATTAAAAATAATACAAAATGTGTACAAATACAAGTATGTGATCAATGTAAATGTATGAAAGTTACAGCTGCAGCAGTAATTATTACAGGCAATCGTCTAAAGGAGACGAAATAATCTGTAGTCTTTTTTGTCACCAGATATTCTTCAGATCTGGAACCCTGGAGCGATTAGAGGCCCAAAGAGACGAGAAGTTAACTGGACACATTATTCTTCTTCAAGCAAGGTGCAGAGGTTATCTAGCACGTCGTAAACTCAACACGCTGAAAGTATGTCATGACATCTTCTTGCCTTTTGTAAAAGTGCACGTTCACTTGCGAACTCGTACGGTAGTTTTCACTCATCCCGAGAAATTTAAACGCGCGACTTCTTCGAATCAGGTGGTAACAATTTATATGTTGCCACTTGATCCGCGTTTAACTTTCCAAACGTGTTAATAACGCTTAACTGGAGACGCGTGAAAATCGTTAAGACTGTTTTGTACGGTTAGATGCAACCATACACAGATAAACCGTATATGTTTGACGATTTTTCAATTTTCACATTTCTGAATTCTTCATTTTTCAAATGCTTGAATTCGATCATTTTTTAATTCGTAAATTTTAAAAATCTCACACTTGCAAATCATTGGATCACTAAATCTTTATGTACCAAACTCAAAATTCTTATATTACAAAATGCCCATATTTTAAAATTCTTGTATTCTAAGAATTCCTAGATTCCAAAAATCCCTAGATGTCAAAAATCTCTAGATCTCAAAAATCCCAAGATTCTAATAATACCTAAATTCCAAAATCCCCAGATACCAAAGATCTCTAGATTCGAAAAATCCTTAGATCACAAAATCCCCAAATTCCAAAAATCCCTAGATCACAAAATCCCCAAATTCCAAAAATCCCTAGATCACAAAATCCCCAAATTCCAAAAATCCCTAGACCACAAAATCCCCAGATTCCAAAAATCCCTAGATCCCAAAAATCCCTAGATCCCAAAATCCCCAAATTCCAAAAATCTCTAGATCCCAAAATCCCCCGATTCCAAAAATCCCTAGATTCCACAAATCCCTAGATCACAAAATCCCCCGATTCCAAAAATCCCTAGACCACAAAATCCCCAAATTCCAAAAATCCCTAGATCACAAAATCCCCAAATTCCAAAAATCCCTAGATCACAAAATCCCCAGATTCCAAAAATCCCTAGATCCCAAAATCTCCAAATTTCAAAAATCTCTAGATCCCAAAATCCCCCGATTCCAAAAATCCCTAGATTCCAAAAATCCCTAGATCACAAAATCCCCCAATTCCAAAATCCCCAGATTCCAAAAATCCTTAGATCACAAAATCCCTCAATTCCAAAAATACCCAAATTCCAAAATCCCTAGATCCCAAAAATTCCTATGTCTCGACGACCCCATTCTCCAAATCTCAAAATCTGAAAATTCAAAATTTTGAATCTCTAAAATCCCCAGATTCTAAAGTCTCAGTTTTCTACCTTTTACTCTTCAAATTTAAAAATCTTTCAATTCCCTAATTTGAGAGTCCTAAGATTTGTTGGTTTCCGTATTTTGCAAATTTTTCCGTTTTCAAATTCTCAAAATTTTCAAATATCGGAATCGCCAAATTAATTTTCAAATGACAAAATTTTTAGTTTCTGCGTCTCCAGATCGCAAAATTTCTAATTCAGTTATAATACAACACACGTACACAAATGAACAATTCATAGTTTCATTCCTTTCCCGTCGGTTCTACGTAAATATATGCAAATACGTATCTATAAATCATTCCCATGTTTTTCATACATATATTCATTGTTTTGCTCATTTTTCGTACTACTTATGTGGAATTGGCCTCCAGACCCAATTTAGAAAGAAGAATTACGGTAATACCAAATGTAGTTGCACGAGAATGGTAAAGTTGCGCTGCGTCGAAGACTACAAACGCTGAGGTCCCGGGCGTCCGCATTTTTTCCAGATTCCTACATAATCAAAGACAACAAATCCACTTTCTTGTCGCGTACGAAAAAAATCGAGCATTCTATTCAGGCCAACGGTGGTTCCTGTTTTCGACTAGCTTTATTACGGCAATAAAAAAGTGAATGTAAACGTAAGACACGCGTATGAATAATGTTGCGTATTCTGTATTGCGAATTTTCAGTTGCAAGATCTCGCGGTCAGATGTATCCAGAGGAACGTAAGGAAGTGGATGTCCGTAAGAGAATGGCCGTGGTGGAGATTATACGTGAAAGTTGCACCTTTATTGAACGTTCATCGGACCGAGGATCAGTTAAAGGCAAAAACGGTGAGAATAAAGCAATTTATTTGTACATAATGGGTTTCCGTTACGAGACCCGCGGGAGAAACATGGAGTGATCATTGTATGGGGTGCGATAGTTTATGGCTGGGGTCACTTGAGGCATGGATGGTTCGCAGGCCTTTTCCCCGAGGGACCAAGTTAGATTTTAAGAAATACCGTTAGAACATGATGTAAATGAGGGTGCGACACGGTGACGAAAAAAGCAAAGCCACTGTAGAAAAAACAGAGGCAGATCTTCGGTAGTTGAGCATGCGTTAGATAGGTTATACTTAGTTAAAACCTAAAATAAAATACAATTACGCACACATTTGTTCTCGTTAAAACCTTCGAATCCTACAGTAGAAATACGAACATATTGGCTCCTTTCCAAACGCGTATAGGGTGTACTCGAATATTTTCGAAAACGTTAACGACCTGAAAAATTGTTTTAGACAAAAGTTACGCGATTTCAAGCTGCGAATTATCCGAAGTAGCTACCTCCTACGCGCATGCGCACAAGAGACGAAGGCCAACTTTGTTCCTTTTAATGGAATTATATATTTTTGAATGCAACGTTCGATGCAGCTCGTTATTCTCTACGCAAAAGTATCGAGTCACTTATGTCGAAAATACGTTAGTTTAGAAGATATTTTCATTTTTATACCGGGTAACGAGGCGAGTGCTAACGCGCACGTTTTAGCACGCACCTTCCTGAAGTTGGCGTTCGGAAGTACGCCCTCTGGCCCGAACGCGGACATTTATTCGATCTCTCGATGATTCTTCGACTCTTCGTGACATTTCCGCGGAAAGTTGGCGGCAGCGAGAATCTTCTCTTTAGGATCATTTGGCGGTGTACGTTCTTCAGCGTGAACGTTATTTTTTAAATATCCCCGTAGGAAGAAATCTGAGGGCGTATCAAATCGTCGGATGGGAAGTACCGAACGATTGACCGGTTAGGATTGTACTACGTACTAACGTTTGTTCACGTACCACAAACAGATGATATTAGGTGTCGTGCATATTAGCTGCATTGGAATTATATGTTGCTGTACGGAAATAAAAATAACTTCCAAAGAAATGATTTTTTGATGTGAGTGACTTAATACTTTTGTATAAAGAATGATGAACTGTATTAAATGGTGCGTTGAGAAATATATAATTGAATTTAGAAGAACGGTATTGGCCTTCATATCTGCCTTATGCGTCCACATAGAAGAAAGCAGCTTTCACCAGATAAATTTTTTCCCTGAAATCGAATTACTTTTGTTTGAAAAAGTTTGTTGTGTCATTGTTTTTAAAGATATTTGTGTGGGCCGATGTAAATGGAACGGCCTGTATAACGGCCTGGAACCCCCGGTAGGGAAAATTAGTTGAATGAGAAATTAAATGATCGAACAAAATTAGTTAAAGTAATTTTACTACATGAAAAGAGGTATAGTTTTTTGCTTTCATCATCAAATTCTTTTGATGTTAATTTTTTGTTATTATTAATATTATTTTGAATATTGTTTAAAGAAAAGAAATTTTCTTTAGATTGTTGAGTCAATTTTTAATTTTATGATAGTGTAATTATTTGGTAAAAATATTTTATAATAGTATTCTGAATAATATTCCAAATTTTACTAGTTTAACAAAATTTTTAAAGTGTACCATACAATATAAAACAATGTCAATAAATTTATAGTTAAACTACGTTGTTTAATTCATTGTATATTTACATTTTTGTCAACAGGAAGAGCTTGAGATACTCAGAGCGAAGGTCGAAAGGTTGGAGCAGGAACGGAATCATCTGAAACACGACAACGACAAACTTGAAGCTAAGGTATGTGAACAAATACTTTTTAAATCATATAGGCACATTTTCACCCTAGTACACTATTCAAAAAGTCATATTGAATTTCTCAATTGAAAAAGACAAGTAAAATTATTGCAAATTATAGTTATGTTAATCACTGTTTCAGGTTTTAGTAGAGAGTCAATCTTTGTGAATTTGTGTTTTGAATTTGGCGCTCTTTTTCAGTGGAAGAGTCTGTACTTATCTGTGGAAATGATGAATTGTTCATATAAAAAACTTGTGAATCAATTATATTGTAATTATAATGAAATATAATCGATTTGTTAGTTTCGTTTATTAACAGTTTATTAATTTCTTCCATGAACAAGTTCAGATTGAAAAGAGCGCCAAATTTGAAACAGAAATTTTGTTGTTATATAATAATAGAAGACATATAAACGTACTTTTATCGTATGACATCATATTATAATTTAATTCAATCGTTTGCTTTATGTATTAATAGTTTATTAATTTCTTCCATAAATGAATTCAAATACTTCCATTAAAAAGAGCGCCAAATTTGAAAGCTAACTTCCATTAAATAATTATAGAAAAATCATAAAAACACTTATTTCGTTTAATATTATATCACAGTATATTATAACTGTAATATAATTCATCTTTATTATAATAATATAATAATCTCTTCCACATACATATAAATTGAAATACTTCCACTGAAAAGGGCGGCAAATTCAAACCAGAATTTCAGAGATACATATTAATAACTAATAATAGAGTATTGTGTTATCGTCATACGTTACAAAATATTTAACAAATATTTCTCAAAAATGAAACTAAATCTTCCTTCAAAAAAAACCTATCTAATCTCTAGTTGAAAAAAAATATTTTCTATTACAAAGTATGTAGCTATTGATTTCTTGCATTCAAGTTATTATTATCGTTTCTCCACCGAGATTTAATTACAAAAAGGTGTACAAACTCTAATCGATCCATTCAACTCGTTCACGGTTCATTTAATCCATCTTTTCATAAAAGAAACAAAGTAATAATAAAGTAGAACGTATTTTACCAACGATGAGTATTTTCTACGTGATTGATCGGTTTGGTTTCATGACAAAACCACTTAATCCCTACTTACTTAAACTTGTTTTGCCACGGTGAATCCCCATGTAACACGAACACGCTTCTAAATAATATGGTTTCATACACAATGCTGGTCACGCAATTGGGACAAGATGTATCTCTCTTTTTCTTGCTAACAGAGAAAGGTGATACACGGAGGAAAAAGTCGGATGTTTCAACTTGGTTACCTTCTAATGATTTTCGTTTTTGTAAATGTAACGATACGATTTAAAACACAGAGTACATTCTCTTTTTAAATGATACAAAGTATATAGTAGGTGTGTGAGTTTAATGGTTGCCGTGTTTAATTCATTATTTTCTGTAGCAATTATTTTTTGTAATTTTGTTTTTGCTATTATCGCGACCTAATTTGTGCATGGAGACGTGTAAACGTTTATGGAAAGCAATTTTAATGCTTATCGACATTTATGTTACTTAGATCTATTTTATGCAAAGTAGTAATTTGCAATTGGGAATTATAATTATTTAAATTTGTTAATTTAACAACTTTTTATATTTGAAGTTTGAAAATTTGAAAATTAGATTATTTGTTATTTAGAAAATTGCGAAGTTGGGAAATTTTTAAAATTGCAAAATTTAAGTTTCTAAATTTCCAAAATCTAAAATTTGCGAAATACAAAATTTCCAAAATTCAAAAATTGCGAAATCCAAAATTTCCAAAGTCTAAAATCTCCAAAATTCAAAATTTCCAAAATCCAAAATTTTCAAATTTCAAAATTTCCAAAAATCTAAAATTTCAAAAATTCAAAATTTCCAAAATCCAAAATTTTCATATTTCAAAATTTCCAAAATCCAAAATTTTCA